TAGAGGAGGAGGCTGAGAATTCCCAGCCCAGTCTATAAGGGAATCACCTCAGGCATCCCCAGGCACACCACAGGCACCTGCTAAAGTCTTTCCCCACTCGTGCATTGGCACCACGCAGCCAGATCAGACCTGCGGCAGCCTCTGCAGCAAAAGGGAGGCAAGGATGCTTGAAAACAGGAGAAATGAAAAGGACAGGTGAAGCGAGGAGGAGGCTGAGAATTCCCAGCCCAGTCTATAAGGGAATCACCTCAGGCATCCCCAGGCACACCACAGGCACCTGCTAAAGTCTTTCCCCACTCGTGCATTGGCACCACGCAGCCAGATCAGACCTGCGGCAGCCTCTGCAGCAAAAGGGAGGCAAGGATGCTTGAAAACAGGAGAAATGAAAAGGACAGGTGAAGCGCCTAGTTTTAGCTGTATTAAGGGAAACACACCAACATACGCACTTTATAGCAGCACACTAGTTCACACTGTGGATTTGTCCCATTTTAACTATAATTTTGTTTCTGAACAGCTATCTGTAGTGTTACAAATCAGCCAGTTTATATACCCACCCTAACAGTTGAGTTCACTGCCGTTTCCATTTTTATAAATCGGAAGGAACAGTCTTTTACCTCTTAATTCATGAATGATTTTATGAAGTGCTGCTGAGCAAGCATCTGATGGAAGGTGGCACAGGGATATAATAGTGTCAGTAATTTGGTTTTGTTTTATTTAATCAAAGTTCTCAAAACAGTGACATGTTTGAATAAATCAGTTGCATCACTCATTTTGTTTTGCAAAGCCTCCTATTCTGATCACTTCCTAGTGCTACCCCCTTCACCTGCCTTCACGCCAGTTTTCTTAAGGAGAAGCTGAGACAAGTTCACTAACAGGATACATGAGGCAGATAGGTTCCTCTGTCAGTACACATTAAATGGGCCTGCATTTTGATTACTGGAGCAGAGGTGCATGGAGGGACAACACATGGAGATAGATGAGGGAAGTTGTGCCCTGTCCCCTCCTCCCCTACGAGTGGAAGAGGGAGGAAGAGAAGAGACTGGCACCCACAGGAACATTTCACCTCATCAGCAGCAGGCTTCAACATTAGGGTTCCCCCCTTTGCAGTACCAGGATCTAGGGACCCACAATTCCATTGCCATATTCAGCAAATTACAGAACAACATAGGGTTGCTGCTGACTTGCCCTAGTTTACGAGCTTTACAACTCAACCTTTCCAAGTCCTGATAAATGCAAAATAATGCACATTGGAAATCCCACCTCTGCATACAAAATAATGGGGTCTAATTTATCTATTACCGCTCAAGAAAGGGATCTTGGAGTCATTGTAGATAGTTCGCTGAAAACATCCACTCAACGTGCAGCAGCAGTCAGAATGTTAGGCATAATAAAAAAAAGGGATAGCGAATAAGACAGAATCTTATTGCCACTGTATAAATCCATGGTATGCCCATATCTTCAATACTGCATACACAAGTAGTCACCTCATCTCAAAAAAGATATATTGGCATTGGAAAAGGTCTAGAAAATGGCAACAAAATTAGGGATTGGAACAGGTGCCATATGAAAAGAGATTAAAAAGAATGGAATTTTTCAGCTTAGAGAGATGATATAAATCATGATAGGTAAGGAGAAAGTGAATAAGAAAGTTATTTACTCCTTCCCATAACATAAGAACTAGATGATCACTACATGAAATTAATAGGTATCAGGTTTAAAACAAACAGGGTTCCCCCCCCCCCCACACACACACACACACAGCACAGAGTCAACCTGTGTAACTCCTTCCCAGAGGATGTTGTGAAGACCAGGACTTTAACATGGTTCAAAAAAGAACTACAGTAAAACTCCATTAGTCCGGCATCCAGTGCTCTGGCACTCCTGATGGTCCAGCAACATCAGGAACCCGGAAGTGCTCGGGGCAGCCAACCAATTGGAGCTGCTCTGTGCCCAGCTTCCCAGATTCAGCCGCTGCTGAAACTGACCAGCAGCTGAATCGGGGAAGCTGGGGACAGAGCAGCCAGGGTGCTGCCGGGTTGGTCCTGTAGCGCCGCCCCTTGGCACTGCCGGACCAACCCGGCAGCACCCCAGCTGCTCTTGGGGACGCCTGGGACAGAGCAGCTGGGGTGCTGCCAAGTTGGTCCGGTAGCACTGCCGCTTGGCACTGCGAGACCAACCCAGCAGCACCCCAGCTGCTCTGCCGCAGGCATCCCCAATTCAGCCACTGCTGAAACTGACCAGCAGCGGCTGAATTGGGGACGCCTGGGGCAGAGCTGGACTATCGGAAGGGGGGGCTATGAGAGGTCTGGGGTGGCATCCCCCACTTCACCCCAGACCCCTCATAGCCCCCCCCTTCTGATAGTCTGGCATATCTGATAATCCGGCACCCCCTGGGTCCTAAAGGTGCCAGATTATCAGAAGTTTACTGTAGATAAATTCATGGAGGATAAATGGCTATTGGCCAGAATGGGTAGGAATGGTGTCTCTAACCTCTGTTTGTCAGGGGCTGGAAATAGATCACAGGAGAGAGATAATTTGATGATTCCCTGTTTTGTTCACTCCTTCTGGGGCAAGTGGCATTGGCCACTGTCAGAAGATAAGATACCGGGCTAGATGGAGCTTTGGTCTGACCCAGTATGGCCTTTCTTTTGTGCTCTAAAATCTGAATGGTTACTCTGATTGCTTGGCAGTCTGTGTCCTGGGAATGAGAGTTGCACTCATGATCCAAATTTGATGTCATTTGACCAAGGCTGAATTTCAGGCTACTGCCCAAACAGGTTTCTTTTTTTTAATTATTATTAGGCTATGTCTACACTGGGGACGGAGGAGAGGAGGGATTTCCGGGATATCCCAGAAAAACTCTGTCACATCCAAGGAACATGTTTGCTCTTCCACTTTTTTTGCAGAAGACCAAACATGCTCTTTCAGGGAGCCCTTTATTCCTCATTCTACAATGGATAAGGGCTCTTCCAAAAGGAGGTGGCTTTTCTGCCATTTGGCCCTGTCTAGACTGGGTCAAATGGCAGAAAAGCCTTTCTGGAAAAGTGATCGGAAAAAGCTATGCAAATTTGAAGAGCTCTTTCCAACAAAGGATTGTAATGTAGACTTAGCCTTAGAGAGCAAGTACTAAGTATATCTAGCTGAATCTGAGACAGATGATGAGAACTCACCCCACTGTCCATTATCCTTAGTTAAGTCAATCATAGACTTATTAGACAAAAGGAGCTTGGGAATAGATGCCTGTAGGATGCTATAATTCGAGTGTCCTGGATGACACTTTGATTTTAATAAGAATTGGTTTTGGTGGTTGTGGGGACAAATAAGGCACGTAAATGTTGCCTCCCAGAGGGAGAGGGGATTGTGGGAAGGGAGGGGAG